CGCAACGCACCACATCCATCCCTCTGCTATCGAATCGCACTCACCTGCAGTGCCACCGCCAACAACGATGTGGGTGTACTTTGCAGAGGAAAAGTCATCACCGGAGCGCTTCATGGCCGGAGCGGCTGCCAATTGTTCGTACATGGCCCTCGAGGAGAGCGGGTCGGTGACGTCGTGGAGCCATGGTGCACCTGCTGCGAGAGCTGGCACCAGGGCCAAAAGGGCGGTGAGAGCGAGCTTCATGTTGAGATTGGGGAGGGGGAAGGGGATGAGATCGCTAAGAGGGTGTTTTGCCACAAAAGCCTTTTGAGCTGAGTGAGAGGGAGCGCAAAATGCTGAATGGAACGAGGAGGAGTCCTTTGTGAGGAAAGGTATTAACAAGTCAATGCTTTCACGAGGTGGCGCAGAAGGGTTGAGTATGTATCAGGCTGATGCGGTGTCCCGATGTTGCTGGAGATATGTGCGCCTGGCGTCGCTCAAAGCGTTGGCTCAATCTTGAATGGCGTTGCGTTGATTTGCGCAGCGTACAAGTCTGGACTTGCTCAATCTCCGACCGATGATGGGCTGATAGAAATGGAGGTGGACAAACGTGGGTAAGCTCAATGCCGAACGAGCGGCAACGTTCAAATGACGCTCTCTCCTCCGCCGGGTACCCACTTTGAGAATGACGATGAGTACTTGGCGCAGACGAATGAGCGCCGTGCCGGTTCTACGGGCTTGGCGGAAGCGTTTGACTGGGGGAAACAAAGAGCAATTCGAGTGTGGCTGGTGCGCGAGGTGTGCACTCGCGATCGGGACGGAGGGAGCAATGTAAAGACGAAAGAGGGGTTAGAGTCGAGTTTCAGGAGGATCAAGCATTGATAAAGGACATGGCCCCCCTCTATATGTACTCGGACAGGTCTCATTAGAGTCACCAGGCATGGCCCCGCTATACTGTACAGCTAGTGGACGGATCGCCGGCAGGATATGCCGAGATGAGGCGGCAATCACGCCAATACCGCTGTTGTGCGCTCGCTGTCTGGCGCATCGGAGAGATGCGCATGGAGAGCCAGCGGTTGATGTCCGGTCTCATTAGCCCAGCTCCACGAAGGTGCATCCCACATCGCTTTGGCCGCTCCAGCTAGGGATGGGCATACGCAGCATGGCACTCACTGTGTGGCTGCCTTGCAGCAGAGCAATCGCAACTCGCACTGTGTGTGTGGCTCGGGGGACGGCTGTATGACGCAGCGGCAAATGAAGGGAGCCGAGCACGCCCATGC